GCCAATTACATGTAGTCTAGTTTCACAGGCCACGCCACCCGAGCCACAACCCAAGGACGCAACTCGGTGTTCGGAGATCGAGGGTTCAAGCCCCAAGTTCGAGATAGCTAGCTTTACGGTACGGTATCTAGCTAGAAGTACCGCAGCCGTGACCAAGTCTAGCTTGTAGCTAGTCTAGCTAGCCAGTCAGGAGTTGCACAAAAAGAGTTGACTCGAATGTAGTCTAGCTAGCTTGCTAGCTTGCAAGACGTATTCTAATCTATTGAATGATCAATCGCAGCCTCATCACAAACCCATCCATGGCTTCGATTGAATCAATTTTTGCTCCGGCTGCGTCACCTTCGGTGTCATGGTTTCACACAGGTGCGGCAAGGGAAAACAAAGGATCCGTTGTGACACTACAGTGGCATGTGTATGACACAACCAGCTGGTCGACGCCTTGCGTTTGTTCGGAACTCAAGTACAGCCAATGTGGCAGAGGGGCGGTGCCTTCTTGTGTTCGGGAACTTCAAGTACAGCCAACGAAGCAGATGGGAGTGATGGGGGATACAGTATAGTCCGGGGCTGTTTGAGATTGACACATGATAGCTGTGAGGAACATGTTCGTGGTATCTTGGGTATCCGTTCTTTTTGTAGCAGACGTAACCAATAGGCAGGTGACAGCATGGTGTGAGAAGTTGTCCCACATCAGGGTGGGGGAGTTGCAGGGCAGTTGTAGTTGCAGAAGACTTACTTCATTTTGCTGCTCCAAGGACACAAGTTTTGACTGAATTGAAGGGCTGTATGAAACATCTCCTGTAGTTTCATCGCACATGTATGTGAGCTACAGTGGCAAATTTGGCATGCTTGAAGCAAGCAAAGGAAAGCATCTTACCGAAAAATTTTGCACTTTGTTTATGCTCCAACCAGATATATCCTGAGGAATGCACAAGACAAGGGTACCATCAGAGGACAGCATGCTATGCAGTCCAGCAAGCAATGCAACACAGGCCGTTCTATCCTTTACCTTGCTGAATTTTGTGGCAGCTTTAAACATCCCCTGCATAGTTGTTACTTTTTGAACATCCCACCCAGTAATGTCTTGGTTGAATTGGGTGGCCGCTTCAAACATACTGCAACAGAAGAGATGTCAGTTTACCAGTGTCCAAGACAACAGATCGGCATCTAAACTAAGGCACATAGTCTCACTCACTAACACATGCTTTCTGCATTTGATACTTTGGAGTTCCATCCAGAAAGAGGCTGGTTGAATTGGGTCGCACCTTTGAACATTTCACAAAAGCTTGTGCTGAGTGATACCTACTCAACAGACACAGAAGCAATAATCAGAAATGACACCAATGAGATAAAAGGCAAAAGAAATGTCCAACAACTCACATCCCAGTTGGAAAGATCTCGGTCGAAAAATGCTGCACCCTGCAAGTGAAGGGACATTTAGTTTGTAAGAGGATGGCATGCAAAAAGGGCTCTGCTCGACTGAAACCCATACCTGAAACCTGTTGGCACGGAAAACGAAGTGAATGGGTAAGGAACTCAACCAACCAATGAAAGGAAGAGAACAATATGCTCCAAGTGTCACTTACATTCTTTCCAAAGAAGTAGCTCCACTGATATCCCATGTTGAGATATCACCATTGAAAGAATTGGCCCCAGCAAAACTACCAGCCGAAAGTCGATTTTTGAATGTGAGGGGCACTCCAGCAAAACTGTTACTGTTCACTGAAGGCAATGGTACAATACTTACGTGCCAACAAACCCCCCCGGATCAGCATTGCTGACATCCCATCCAGCGAGGTTTTGGTTGATTGTTTGAGCTCCACTAAAAGTCTCCTGTATTCTCAGTGCACATGTTAGCTACAGTGGCAAACTTGGCATGCCTGAATCAAGGGAAGAATCGTACCACAAAACTTGTAACACTTGATGTCTCTGTACCAATATTTCCAAAGAAATGTTAAGTAAGAAACCCATGCTCGTGCCAGAATCGTTCTTCAAAGCTTACCCATCCAGATATATCCTCATCAAAGTTGGCAGCATCGAAGCTAGTAGTCCCCTCTTGTGTTGAAAATACCCGATACAAGTTATCCACACGGGAGATATCCCTGTTACCAGACAACAGTATGAGATGGACCACAACACAAGGAGACCGCCTGGAAGCTCAACTTTGTCAAATGATTTGGTAACTTACCATGTCTCAATGGGACCATAGGGACTGGTTGGGCCATACAGTGTTGACGCCAAGGCAGCAAGCAGCTCTTCCCTACCAGAGACAACTGCAAAGAGGAGGCATTAAAAAAATGTAAGCAAAGCATGACAGTTTCACAGCATACAAATCAATCTGCTTACTGGTATCAGTTGTAGGAGATTCAGAAGGAACTGGCATTGGAGTGGCATTCTTGTTGGTGCTTTGTGCGGTGCTTTGGTGGGACTTTGTTGGTGCCTGTGTAGGTGCTTTAGTTGGAGCTTTGGTTGGTGCCTGTGTTGGTGCTTATACTGGGCACTTTAGTTGGAGCTTTGGTTGGAGCCCGGGTAGGCACACCGGTTGGAGCCTTGGTTGGTGCCTGTGACGGTGCTTTAGTGGGTGCTTTAGTGGTTCTTTAGTGGGAGTTTGTTGGTGCCCGGAGGCACGCTGTTGGAGCTTTTGGTTGGTGCGTGTCGTGCTTTAGTGGGTGCTTTAGGGGTTCTTTGGTGGGAGCTTTGGTTGGTGCCCGGGTAGGCACTTTCGTTGGAGCTTTGGTTGGTGCCTGTGTTGGTGCTTTACTGGGCACTTTAGTTGGTGCCCGGTAGGAGCTTTAGTTGGAGCTTTGGTTGGTGCTTTAGTGGGTGATTTCGTGGGTGCTTTAGTGGGAGCTTTGGTTGTGCCTGTGTTGGTGCTTTAGTTGGAGCTTTGGTTGGTGCCTGTGGTTGGTGCTTTAGTGGGAGCTTTGGTTGGTGTCTGTGTAGGAGCTTTGGTGGGAGCTTTGGTTGGTGCCTGTGTAGGAGCTTTGGTGGAGTTTTGTGGTTTTTGTGCCGGTGTGTAGGACCTTTGGTGGGGACTTCTAGTGGAGCTCGGTTGGTGCTTGTGTAGGCACTTTGGTTGGAGGGCAGTGTGGGGTTCGAGTTGGAGCGTTTGTAGGCAATTGGTTGCAGCCTGGAAGAGGGGTTTTTTGGTGGGCAACCTTTGGGTACTGTGGATGGCGAGTATGTTTGGCAATTTTGTAGGCTGGGGTTCCGTGGGGGCAAGCGGGTCGGTTCCTGGGTTGGTTACCTCTGTTGGTGCCTTGGTGGGAGCCTTTGTTGGATTACCAGGGAAAACAGTGGGTGGTGAGGTGGGGGCACTGGTAGGAAGCTTTGTTGGCTGGATTGTTGGTGTCCTGGTAGGGGCACTTGTTGGCATTCTAGTTGGAGCTGCTGTTGGTGACTTTGTGGGAGCCTTTGTTGGACTACCAGGAGGAACAGTTGGTGGTGAGGTGGGGGCACTGGTAGGCAGCCTTGTTGGCTGGATTGTTGTTGTCCGTAGGGTGTCACTTGTTGGGCATTCTATTGGAGTCTGGTGGGGTGGAGCTGGATGTGGGAGCCTTCTGTTGCTACCAGGGGAACCATGGTTGGCAGTGAGCGTGGGCAACTTTGTGGCAGCCTTTTGGCTGATGTTGTGTTCTGCTAAGGAAATCTTGATGGAGTTCCTATGTTGAGATGAACTGCTTTGGTAGTGAGCATGTGGGGTAGCTTGTGTTGGAACAGGAGGTAACGATTGAGTTGATGTGACGGGTTGGCACGAGTCATAGCTACGTGGCTGGATTGTTGTTGTGGTTCTGCTGTAACACTTGTTGGAATTCTAGTTGGAAGAGCTGTTGGTGACATGGTGGGAGCCTTTGTTGGACTACCAGGAAGGAAACAGTTTGGAAAATTGGTGGTTTCCAGTAAGGTAACTGCTATCGGGTGTAGGCGGGGGGCGTTGGGCTTGTTGGGTTTCCACTTGGAGCACCAGGGGAGACGGTAGGGTTTCCAGTTGGCTGAAAAGTTGGGAACTGAGTTGGTGCTGTGGTTGGAGCAGCACTTGGGCCGCGTTGCTGGCTTGTTGGACTAGCACTTGGAGCCCCCGGAGAGACAGTCGGCAGTGGAGTTGGTGCATTGCTTGGTTGTTCATGGGTGTTTGTGGGCGTACCGCTTGTGTATGTTGGCAGTCTGCCACGCTTGCTTCTAGGAAGTTTGGTTAGTGATCAATGGTAGGAAGGAGAGAGTGCTTTGGTTGGACCTAAGTAGGTGATGGTGTTGGCAATGATGTCACAATATCAACAGCCTCCAGTGAGTTCCTTTGCATTGCTGGATGCGCATTGAATGCTGATAGAAAGTTAGTTTTTGCAGCATTGATCTGGAACATGAAGTCATTGTTGACTTGAAGTGATTCAACTATGATAGCCACTGTGTTGCCAGTAGTACCTTGCAGTCGCCTCTGGGTCATGCGTCCTTGGACTGTTGCATCCAGAACAACAGGATCGCATGCCTCCTTTTCAATGGCAGCATCGGCGGAAGTAAAGGAGTCTTCCAAGTCTAAATCAGAGGCAGCTGCTGCATCCTGCAGAAAAACCACATAGTAGATGGCCTCAACAGATGCAAAAAGGAGGCTACAAGCCATGTCTGATGGGCTTTCTGATGGAGTGAAGCTAGGCTGGAGTGTGGGATTTTCAGAAGGCCCTGGTGTGGGTCTCAAAGTAGGCACCTTTGTAGGTCTTGGAGAAGGAGGAAGTGAAGGCATGGGGGTTGGCCCAGGAGACGGCTGGGGAGTTGGCACTGGGGTTGGCTCTGGTGGGGCGTGTGCCATGGTGTTGTTGTGGTTGTTCTTGTTGGTGACCGCCAACAGAATCTGATGTGGGTTACAGGTGGTTAGTTGGTCCAAGGGCCACCAAGTTTTTGGATCAGACGGAGAGACAAGTTGATCCTACACATTGATGACATACAGCATTATCACTTGGTGGGTGGATGCATCATTTGCAGTCCATCCTGATTACCGTTCCCATACAGGAGAGTCATGTCCTTTGGAAGTGGTGCGGTGCTGTCTGTGTCTGCGAAACAGAAATTGAATTCGAGAAGCAGCCGGAAGCGGATTGATTGGAGCTGACGATGTCATGTCGCCCATGCTGTGGCAAAGTTGTTCCTTGAAGAGCAGGGGATAGTTGTGAGGACAACATCCTCATGCAGGACACAAAGCACGATCATTTTGCAGAGAATGGCAAAGGAAGTTCAGGAAAGAGGACTCGGGCCATCAACATTCGTTTCTTTTTCATTCAAACCAGATCAGGATATGGCAAAGGGCACATCCAGAGTGGTGTATACTGCCCACCTTGGAGATTGGGCGTATGGTGGCAGATTTTTTCACGCGGATCGTGCTATCACTCATTACTGACTAAGGGTTGTCATCGTATGATGTCGATGAGTGCGAGCGGGCTATTGAAGCCACACCCACTTAGTGTCAGTATGTGGCAAGCTTCTTCACCGCTCATACCACCATGAGCACAGGGCTTTCATCATGGGGCATCCACCCCTTGTTTGATTGCCTAATTTATTTATTCGTTCCACGGTACCACTTAGGGCACCGTGCAGGAGTGTGTTGGAGGAAACATAACCTGACACCTCTTTACTATTGACTCGTGTATTAAACATCTAGTCCGGTTCGCATGCATATTCATGATGCAAGGAACCGAGGGAGTTTTAGGTCTAAAGTATTGCGTGCAGCTTATATCCATTCAACTTGAAGAATAGAATAAACCTGCAACCCAGCAGAAAGATCACTTTTGCTTTTCAGCTTAATCTAAAACCAAATTACTCCCCAATAAGCTGCAGTATTACTAGCAAACAACAATGATCTTGTTCCGGTCCACACTTTCTTCTTCGTCTTCACCTTCTTCTTCAATCGGCCGTTGGGTGAGTACAAGGTTGCCATCTTCTGTGTCTTTTTGGATGGCTTCAAGCTGAGAACATAGAGACTTCCCTCTGGGCTTGATTTTGGCAGTTCCACGGGTGACCACCATGATGAAACAGAGCTAGCTAGACTACAACAAACAATCCGATGAATGTGTTGTCGCATGTGTGGACAAAGCAAACTGTTGGTTCGGTTATTGAGTTTATCACTCTGCAGTGTAAAGAATAAGCCAAAAGACTGTTAATACACACCACAGATGCCTATTCCCAACAAAACCAAACCACCAACGCAGGACGGACGGGCTTGGGCGGAGCCCAGCGCCCTCCCTCCCATCGCGCGCCCGTATGGGCGCCCATCGGGCCTGCTTTTGGTGGTCTGTTTTTATTAATAACGGGATACTACATGCTCAGAGCAATCTTCTAATCTTCCACTTTTTTGTGGCACAGATAGGTACTGCCGCTGTGCATGTCCTGCCGCTGTGCATGTCCGCTACACCAGACCAGGTGCTACCGTCCGTACAACTCCAACAACCACTCCTTCGCTCCCTCGCAAACCAATGCTGGCCAGAGGGATGGATGATGCACGTAGCATACTTGATCTAGTTGAGTTAGCTTTGGATACATGTGGTTCTTTGCAATCGGAGTGGCTTGCCACCTGCCATGTACCTGCTACCTCACAGAGCATAGTTTTGCTTTGATATCTTGGACGTTCCTTCTCCGTCGTTTCTGGTTGCATAGTGCCCACACTGAAGCAACGAAGGGAAGGGTGGAGGGTTGATTTTAGGATCAGAATCAACACTGGATCCTTCCATGAGAAAGTCGTCAAGGGTACCGGTACGGTAGACTAGGTCACCACCGCGGCATCCACTGGTTCCACGGAAGGCTCTGTTCGTCTCCACAATCGTCAAAATGGATCCTCGGGATGTGCCAACCAGCCATGGATAAAGATTCCTACTCTTCGTGTTGCAAAACGTACCTAGCCAGCTACTACTAGTAGCTACTGAGTATTTTGATACCGTCGACTTTCCTAGCCCACCATAAAGCCCAACACAGCCTCTCAGAATCCGGGTGATCCGTTCGGCCTGCCACCCTCACTACAGTATCGCTCTAGATCCAGCTAGCTAGGGTTTGTTCTGCGTGAGCTAGGAACATGTACAATCACAGTCGCATGTGACAGTCGTGCAGTTGACATGCAATTCATGAAGACGGCCCTCGTCCTTCAGCATGCACACCTCTGTTGGTACACTCCCCGATAGGTTTGTGCCATGGAGTAACAGCAACTCTAACCTGGACAATAAACCCAGCTCAGATGGAATGAGGCCAGAGATACCAGTGTTGTCCATTTGAAGATACCTCAAGCTACAACAAAGAAAATCAAATTAGCCAGAAAAGATATATCTTGACTGCAATAGTCACCACCAAAGGCAAACATACCTTGAGCATTGGGCTATCTCCGAAGGAATGCTTCCAGAGAGGCCTAGATTTTTCGATAATCGCAAGTCAGTCAGCTTGGTTAGCAATCCGATCTCACTTGAAACTGCTCCAGAGAAGTAATTCCTGTCTAGCAGCAAATTCCTCAATAGGATGTTGCTGCTCAGCCTTGGAATTGGAATCGATCCGTGAAAGGCATTGTTGCTCATTGATAGGAACCACAGGTCAACAAAAGAAGCATTTTGGTGCCCAAACATCTCACCAGAAAGGCCTGCATTGTTGGCAAGATCAAGGGTGCGAAGCTTGGTGAGGGACCAGATGGAATCTGGTATCACTCCTGTGAGCAGGTTGTCACTCAAATCCAAATAGAGCAAGGAGGAATGGAAGCTAGAAGCATCAAACCATGCTTCAGGGATTGAGCCAGTGATTTGGTTGCTTTCCACCTCAAGCCGTTCAAGTGGGGCCATCGGGTGAAGTGGGGGGAGAGTCCCAGTGAACTCGTTATTATTCAAGATGCAGATCTGCAGCTTAGCCAAATCTTCAAGAGATCCAGGTATGGTGCCTGCTAGCTGTGCCTCAACCTGCAATTCAGTCAGGTTATTCCATTGACCTACATCTGGGAGAGTTTCGGTCAATGCAGTCTGGTCCAGCCTGAGGGTTTCAAGGTTGGTGAGTTCCAGAAGTTCGATTGGAATGGTGCCCTGTAGATCATGGTTATGTCCAAGGAACAAATACTCCAAGGAAGCGAGCAGTCCTATCTCCGATGGGATGGTACCTGTGAGATTCCCAGATAAGCTCAGTTTCTTCAGATTTGACAGCCCATGAACTGTACTGGGAATTGTACCATTCAAGTCTGGTTCAATCAAAGAGAACTCCTCAAGAGTGTGGGAAGGCAAAATCTCAAATGTGGAGCTTGGAATCGTGCCTGTGATGCCATTTCTGGAGTAATACAGCTTGCGAAGGTTTGAAAGATGCTTCATTTGAGGGATGACTGCTGCTGACATTGGTTTATTGAATCCAATGGCGTGCAAGTAGATCTGCTCTAGGTTTGGCAAAAGAGCAATCTCAGGTGGCATTGCACCTTGAAGGTCACTTGGATTTCCAGGAACAATCAACTTAAGCTTGGTGAACCTGCCCAAGCTGTTGCAAGTGGTTTCATTGGTTTTCCTTTCCACCATGACATACTTCTGCTCCATCATATTGTACAACACGCTGGCATAAATGTCTGAGAACCAGTCACATTCTGACTTGTCATAAACCAAAAAGTCACTCTTCGCAACATCCAACCACTTGTCCCCGTGGAAACTATAGAAGAAGGTTGCCAATGCAAACAACTGTACCTTCCTCCATTCTGTCATGTTTTCAACGTGGGGATGCTCCAACAACCACTGGTAAGCCATGCTTTGTGGTGACAGAGGATATAGGATGGCTTCCATGGTTGTGTTCAGGAGCAAGTCTTTTGGAATGAGAAAGGTTGGTGCAGGGGTAGGCCACAGGGTGTCAACATTGTCCTCCAAGGGTGTTGCTGGGGGTTTTGGTGTCACCTGAGTCGCTCGGAGGCTAGGCGACTCAGAAGATCCTGCGTCGCTGGCTGATGCTATCACTACCGTCACAATGACGACAATCAAAGTTAAGAAGAGTCCCAACAACCCCAGCAGCGTTCTGAGCTGTTGCGCGCTCTTAACGTGCTGTCTCTTCCTTGCTGCATGATCCATTGGTACGGCCCCTGGTAAGTTCTCGGGCCCAAGATGATCATTGACTGGAACCGCTTCGGAAAGGCCAAGTTCATCCTGATTTGGGAAGTTGTCAGTCGAAGCATCTCTTCTAAGGAGCGAAAAGCTTACCGTGTCTTGGCGTACGTCTTCGTTGCCAGGGACGGAAGCAAATGCTCCTGGTTCAGACTCCGAGACTTCAATTGGCGGTTCACTGGAAGATGCTGCGACAGCTGCATCCAAGGTTTGTCTGTTCCGCTCGTCTACGACAGATTTCCGCGTAGTATTCGCTGGTTCTGTATCTGGCTTGCCAGCAAGTGATTGGGTCCTGGCACTGGTCATGGTAGGCGCCAAGCATCCTACATGTCCACTTTGACTGGTGCTAGTATCGGGATTCTTCTCGACAGTGGTACTGCTGGACGATTCGTTGGCAGATGCGACGCTTGGAAGCTTGGTGGCAGACGTGCCGCTCGTCAGCTTTGCCGCTCCGTTCTCTACGAGAATCGAAAGCAGCTCCTCGCCAGTGCTGGTTTGAGATGGTTCCTCTCGCTCAATGATCACGCCAGTAGCCGCAGCGCGCTTGGTGGCACTTGGGGTAGTCATGGTCCGGTAGAGGTAGACGGTAGAAGCAACGTTGGTTGCGAAGAGTGTAAACAACGACACTTTGAGCTTTTGCGGCTCTGGTGACTGGCAAACCGCTACTAGGATACCGGTACATACATAATACATGGCTCTCGATGCTCGAAGATAGGTCTACATGTACCGCAATTTGATGTCCCCATACTTGACGCAACGGGAGTCCACACCACGCGAACGATTCGATTGAATCGAATGATTATTTTCAATCACTATGGCACACAAACGAGAATTGCACTTCACTGTAACAAGCTCTGTACTCATCGAGGAGTAACAATTTTAAAATTACTCTTCCTTAAAATTAATAAGTACTAGTAGAACTTAAGGCTTTCATTTACCAGTCAACAAGTGATTAAACCACAAACCAAGAAGCATGTTCTCCAGAACATATCGAGGTCTCTCTGAATTCTGAACTGCATGTCATTATTAAGCCATCTTTAGATGCGGTACATGAAAAAGAAGCTGGAATGTCTGAAGTAATGACCCAAGCAAGCTACTCTGACGAAAAGGTCCGGATTTTTAAAAAAATCCGGATTTGCTCTGGATCGCCCAGAATCACCTGGTGAACACAGTTTAGAATAAACTGCTTGTTCCTGCCTGGACACATCCTCATCAAAAAACACACCACCTTGGCTGTCAAAGATGCCCTAGCATTTTAACCAATAGAGCCACCCTAGCAATACTTTGAGATAGGGAATACATAATTTGAATGTGACGGTCGCAGTGGTGGTAGTGGCTTGCCCATTTGGTGGTCTTGGAAGTGAACATTGACTAGCAAAGTGGGGAACTCATTTTTGCTTTTTCGATTGGTGCCAACAGCCTCCAGCTGATCTTAGATCCCAATTCCGGTCGAACCGAGCCATACCATTGCAGTCATATATACACCTATGCAGTCAAGAAAGCCTGGAGACTGCCCAGAGTGAATCTGCTGTTCCTACAAGATCGTCGAGGACTACTAAAGAGGAGCCAGCCATCCAACGTGGTCAACCGGCCGTCGTCGAACGGAAGACGCTATTAACTCGTTGATCCAACTCACTTTCAGTGGTATGATTCTCCCTAATGGACTACAATGTGTCCATCAGATCAATAGATATGATTGCGTTGATAGCAGAAGGGTGGCACAGTCCGAAATAAAGGTGAAGCTGAGAACTTGGGGAAATATTTGGAAGAAGAATGAAGCATCTAATTTGACATAAGATAATGCCTGCTACATAGCTGTTACCACTACAACCAGCACATGGCTGCAACAAGCAAAGAATGTAGACAATTCTACACGCTTAGTTTGGTTGTTTACATGCTACATTAGTCTCGTAGTCCTTGACCAGAGCATGGTGTTGTGATGAGGAGAAAAGTGAAGTATCTTACAGTTACTCAACGAAGACTCTTAATGTAAAGGGTATTTCGCATTTGCATTTTCAGTTTTGCTTCAAGTTTGGTAATTTAGTTCATTTTGGCTCATTTACATAAATTTAAAATTTATTTACAGGATAGTTCTTTGTTTCACTTGCAAAGCAAACCAGCCTGTATAGAAAACTCTGGATCCAGACTAAATCGTCAGAGTAGCAAGGTTCAATCAGAATTCAGAACCATCAAACCGCAAACTCACGAACCGCTTCAATCGTCCCGCGATCTTTCGCCACGCGGTTACATGCAACATTGTACAAACATGATACATGTAGTAGCTTCCCGTTGCACGAGGGTTTCATTAGGGAAGATACATACGACGTTACGGAATGGGGCGAGGAGGCAAAGACTTACCGCTCCTAGCTAGCTAAGTTAGCTAGCAACTCTGGGTATTAGCTCACGGTAGCTGGTTGGCGAATTGCAAGGGTCCATGCCAAAGGCTGCATCCAGGGAACGGGGGGTGCCGGACTGACTGACGTGAGAGTGTGAAGGTTTATGATAATAGATATCTAGCTAGGTAAATTGTGGTCTCTCGAAACCTCTGCTCTTCACAATGGCGCTCTCTGCTAGTACCATAGGGTACGAATTGGTGCGATTGAGATGACCCCACCTGGGAAAGAATTAGTGATGGTTCCTTTGAGATTCCCAGACAATGTTTCCTCAGGTTTGAAACTCCTGGATCTTGCTAGGGATTGTCCCGCTGAAGTCTGGAACTCCTGAAGAGTGCTCGAAGGTAAACCCTCAAGGATGTTGCTTGGAATTGTGTCTGTGATACCATTTGGAAAGATCCAACTGCCCTAGGTTGGTCAGCCAGTTGCTGCATATCAGTGTTGTTGACATGGGAGAGGACCATTGAATGCAATGGCGTGGAAGGGGACCTGTTCTAGGTCTGGCAAAAGAGCAGTCTTTGGTGGCATTGATGTGTGTAGTTTGTGTGTGCTTCCAGGATATTGTGGCCTTAACTTGGTTCAAGATCTGGCCGGCGATGATGGTACTAGTAAGGGGAAGCACCGCTTTGTCTCGCATGGTTCCAACGATCCGCTATACGGCATGCTTTTCCTCCTTCTCCGGTCTCGTAGCGAAGGGTTCAACCACTGGCGGCGAAGCCATCTCATATGAAGCTCCCTCCTTGGCTTGCTCCACCATCTTCCCAACGAGGGTACAATCTTGCTCGTCATACTCCGCTTCGACCTCTTCCAGCATCTGGCTAACAAGTTCTTCCCCTTCCTTCTCCCACTTTCCGCGATTGCTGTTGGCGTAGTTCAAGTTCTCATCACTAGTGGGACCAAAGACTCCACAATCACGGAGCTTTTTCGATAGAGGAACAATGTAGTGATCGAAGAAGTCGATCTCACCTTCGTACCAGAAGTCAGCTGACGACAAAGCAAAAAGATGATGTGAGCGAAATAGAAGTAGCGGTGCGGCGCAAGTCGTTCGCGGTGGATTAAAATGCACGTACCAGGATTCTTCTCTGCTCTCCCTTTTCGATATGCCTTGTACTGTTCCTTAAAGAGACGGTTGTTCCATTTTCTGTTGAAAGAAGCCAACGACGCAACTTTTATTAGATTCTGAACTTAACATCCTCCAAATAATGTCTTATTCAACACCCTCACCTGTAGATGTGCCAGTGTTGTGAGCAGTGCGCCACATCAGCCGCCTGAATGAGATGCTCAATCTGGAAGTAACAACGAAGTGAGAGTGTGAGTGAACAAAACAAACAAAAACAAAAACTGGATCTGCCCTTGAGTCCACTGGATGACTTACCACGATTGTAGCCTTCCTGTTGACTGACTCGCTACTTTCCTCTGCGGTGGGTCCGTTCTGGCCATCAAAAGCCCTCTGCCATCGTGTGTTTCTCAGCAGCTTCAAATCTTTGTCCTGCAAATCGGTGGCCATCACAGACTGCAGAAAATGAATGAGTGGCTGACTTCTTGCGGACCGAAGCATCATCGACATTGACGGCAACGAATGGTTGGCACCCACTTACATTCACAACAAGCCCTCGGAAGCGACTCATCTCTGAAATCGTGGGGCAGATGGTATGGAGGAGGTCTTGGAAACGATCTTCAACCAATAGATTCCATGACAAGTCCAGCGACTTGGGTGTGCAGGAAAAGACGATGTGTGAGCGGCATGCTGCCATCATGATGCCGTTGTGATAAGGGACACAAGATTTCCCTCACGCACCTTCTGTTCGACGACGCTTCGTTCCTTGTAGAACATTGCGATTTGAGCGTTCTCCTGCGTGATTGGAAAGAGTGGCAACATAGGCTGGCTGTCAGGACCAGGACAAGGAATCTTGCCTGGCTCTCGCTATAAACGGACAAGTGCTCACCTTGATGAACTGAGGATTAGGCACGCCCGGATGATCAACTGAATGGTGGAAACAAAGCGAAAGGTGAGGAAACCAACTCCAGCACAACATGTCTTTGGACCTGACATCCCGATGTGGAACTAACCATCATGAATCATAGCAGCAAAAGCGACCGCGAAAAAAGTCAGCGGATCCGAACAGATTCCATAAGTGTGGCTGTGTTTGCAGCGAGAGAAGAGAAAGTGTAAGCGTCTGCTCATCGCATTGCATGGAGTCTAGTCAATCGCAGCTTGGTACTTACTCATGCAATGCCTCTAAAGTGCTGCCACGGAAGCGGTCCGCGTTGTCAGCCTTCCCTAGATCAACACCGCTCGCTGCGATTATTCTGTTCATGTACTTTGTGACAGCCAGGACCACATACGAAGCATGTGCAAACTGAAAAGGCTGAAAGGTGAGACGGCAATCGCATACGTTCAGAGGTTGCACTGGGGGCAGATGGCACGTACATTGTGGAAATCGTTGCTGTGATTGTACATTTCTGCAATCAATGTGATGTACTCCTTCAACTGCTCCACGACATTGTCAGGAAGCTCCGTGGTCGTTTCGTTGTCGCGAAAGCGCATGGCGGCTCTGCGGTCAAACTCTGGAAGTTCAATGATCTCTTTGACTTCGAAGAAAGGCATCGTAGCAACGTCGAGGGTCGGCACATTTTCTTTGGAACTAGAATCAAAGAAAGGCCTCGGGTTCGCCGCTCTTCGAGCGACGATTTGCTTGAGCAGACTTTTGAAGATCTCAACGTTCCAGTCGATCCATCGTTGCTCGGTTTCCATCTCCAACAATTCCTCGTTTTCCAGTACGTCTTCTTCCACGCTCGAATCATCCTGATAAATACCTGGGGTGTCAATATGCCTGAAAAGCCGTCTGAGATGGGAGCCCTTCACGAGATAGAAGGTCCGCATTTCGCCTTTTTCCTCCGTCTCGACTACATCTTCTCGTTCGAGCACCCATCTTCCAACTTTTGCTTGCGTCAACAGCGCAGCTGTCTCCTGTGACATGTGCACTTTGCCAGACTCACTATTAGCCAGCAAGAGCGAAGCAGTCGTCATGACATCTCCGAAAAGCTGAAGTAGAACGAAACGAGAGAGTGAGTAAGCGAGCTCAGTCTGCGCGATCTGGACGAGCAGAGAGAGAAAGAAACGAACAGAAAGCGCATACCTGAAAGCGACTTCCCTTGCCCTTTAGGAAGCCTCCGGTTACTGGTCCACTGCACACAAATCGAAATAGTGCAGAAACGAGTCGAGTCAGCAGAGATTGAATCGATCGGAGTCCACAGTCTCGCACCATACTGTACAACTTACCTATGCATCCCAATCATGATGGACAAATCAGCTGCAAAAGAAGATCGACAAACAGGCAAGAGTTGAGATTCCGTAAAAGACCAGGAGACACAGACCGCATGTCATCGCAGCCATACAGTACTGCAGAGACAGTTGGCATACCCGTGTCTGGTCCAAAGGTGACTTCTTGCTTTTTGATAAAACTCGGCATCTTTTTCATCACGTCCGAACAGAACTTTGCCATCAACACTGCATGGTCAGGCTGATGTTGGGGCACGCCGGTCGCGGCGACGTAACACTCGGCCACAGTTTCAATCGTCGTTACTCCATGGCGTGCCGCAATTTTGTCGTACTGAGAGTAGATTGTTTCGAGGAACTGGAACACCGAGACTGGTTCGCGGACACTTGACCAGGCCGTGAACCCGCAGAGATCCACCAGAGCCACGGTAGTATGCACAAAGACATCCGGGAGCGGCTCTGCATCCAAGTTTTCCCCGCTGTCCAAGAACTTGGGATATACGTACAGGGCCGCCGCCAAAATAGTGTCGATACTGAGGATGAGACTTTGTTTCTTCATGGCTTCCGACTTGAATGTATCACTTCCCACAATAAATGCCCAAAGCAGCAAAAAGAAAAAGTGCATGTAGATTAGAATGGCCATGGGTTTGGTGTCATTCATGTCTTCTTTGATTTGCGTCGCCAACACGGCGAGAATACACCCCGGTACCGCAAGCAACGCTGGCCACAAGACCGCAACGAGATACCACACATCGGAATCAGATCCACAATAGTCAAATGCGTCCACAATGGTTTCTCCCTGTTCCGTTTGGACCGTGGACAGACTGTACTGGAATACTTCTCGTGGCGTATCGACAATGGACCACGCCAATAGAAATGCCACGACGAATGCCCCGAATCCCCCCACGACGAGGAGCAAATCCTTGCGCAAGAGTCGCACTCGTTGCATTTTCCGTCCCGACGTGGCCAATCGTTGAATTTTGGCCATGCGGTATACCAAGGGCACGAGTTGGAACAAGAATCCCAGATTGACCAACCAAGGATACACGGCACAACTGAGATTGGATGGATCCAGTGTTTGAATCAATGCCGCCACACTGACCAACAACATGCCCATGCACATGAGTCCAAAGAATTCCATTTGCAAGTAATACATGACCTTGGTGGCTCTCTTTAGGCAAGTCAATACCAGGGCTCCCACACACAGCACGACCGCCATGACGGCCATGGCCAATGCCGCCTTGCTGAGTGACTTTTGCGCATCGCCGTGTCGTTCGTGTACAACCCGTGGATACGATTCTGGTACCAGCGCCAACAACCAGTCCAAATTCTCCACCACAAATTGACAGACGGCATCGCGCTGATCATAGTGCCACTTGTCGGTGGTCCGTGCCAACCAATATTCGAATATTTTTCCCATTTGCACATTGGATAATTTGTATTTGGTCACTACTTGATAGGCGGGATTGTGAAATGCCACGGGAATATCGACGCCAATACTAATATCTCGCAACGCCGTGCCCATGCCCTTTTGCAAGACTTGTGGAAACGTATCGCAGGCACCCGCCGGGTCACCGACCGTTTCATTCCACGCGAGATCAGCATTGCAGTGGGTTCGATAATCAATCCGAGCGTCGAGACATTCTTGTGTGGGATGGGGGAGCAAGACACGCGTAAATGCGGCGGCCGTATCGACGTAGGCTTCAAAGACGGGTTCGGGAGACCACCATAACATCATGACGGGTGTGCGTGTGGCATTAGCAGCGGCCCACAGTTGTGTCAATTGTGCATACGAGTATCCTCTGTTGGGTGTCGGTCCAGTAGATTGGAGTGGAATATCTAAATGATGGAATTGTTGCGTGACATAGGAAGCCCAACCACAGGGATACGTGGCGACGTGTCCCGTGCAATTGTGGGGATACCGAGTGCAATTGTTTTGTTCCGTAATGCGGAAATACCCAGTAAAGTCGCGCCCGTGCGAAGGCTGATGAAAATACATGATTTCTTCGTCGGCGGATTGCGGTGGTCGTTGGGCTGTCTCATCTGGCTCTTGACACTGTGTGGGTGAAACGAATTGACAATAGTCGTTCCAATTGGTGGGTGTGGGAAATGTCTCTGCCATTTTCTGTCTATCGTGTTGCAATCCCAACCAGGAGACGAGGGAATTGTCTTGTTCGGCAGCGAATTGTGGCACAAAGAGGGCATTTTCTCCCAGGGCGCCCAAATCTCGTACTTGCTCCATGCCACTGACGACAAAGCGCGATCGCGAATCCCACCAGAGTTCCGGTAGCACATGATAGCATCCTTGATATGTTGACGGGTCGGTAGTATAGACGGTTCGACAATCCTTGACTTGTTCCGACACTGCCAATTCGGGAAAGGGCGGATTGAAAATGGATTCTTGGTAATCGTTGCGTGAGAATTCGTCGTAGAAATTGACGGTGCGACTGGGAGATCCCGCTTCCAATGTGACGGGGACATCGAGGATTTCACTGAGTAGGATGGTCAAGATCCACGCTCCAAAATTGTGCGATTCCCAATTCTGGGCGGCCAATCGAACTTCTGTGTAGTCCATTGCAGAGACGTGACAGTAACCCAGTGTCTCGGCGTCGGGAGGATCGTCCGAATTGCAGACGCGAGTCTTATTCTTCCAATCTGTATGGAGTGTCTGTAAGCAACCGCCGTAGTAGAATGGATTCGTGCAGAACCCATTGACACATCGAGAGCCACTTCGCAACAGACTCTCGCAGTACACGTCCGCATTGGTGCTCCCATCAATCTCACAGGGCACCGTTGACGCCAGCACAGGAGGGACCACCAGCAACAGCAGTAGCAGTAGCGTAGCACTGTCAACAGACTTCATGGTTCTGAATCTGTAGATTAGCGTACAATCACACAGTCTCCAACTAGAGCAAAGTAATGAGGAAAAGTGCAAAGTGCAATACCCCCTGCCTCCCCTGCAAAAGAGGAAGGGAGCCTCATTCGTTCGGTGGCAGGATGAGAGATCATCGCTCGAGCAGTGTTCCTGAAACGCGACTGATGGAATACCGTATGGAATGGTGAAGACGATACAGAGAGCAGTCATTAAATCCTACATCCATCAAACCTCATACAGCCTCTCGTAAAAGCACGTACATGTACGACCTCGTAGAGAATATACCGGTACCGCTAGCAAAAAAGACTGCTTTCATGCTGGCAATGCATTCTTGCACAAGAGATGGGTACTATTGACTTAACAGCAGACTTCTCTGTTCACCTTCGTGAAGGTTCAAAAGGAATAAAGGGAAAGATACAGGAGTCTACAGCGGGTCACCTCACTGCTCGCGGCTCGCAACAACTTCAAACTTCTACCTCTCTTCGGCAACACGAGTGAGGCAGTGCAGCGGCATCTCTGCGCCCAGGACAACCTAACAGTTTGGAAAAGACTACCAGGTACCCTACGCTTGGCCTGGCCTGGCTTGGCCTGGCTTGGCCTAGCTAGATAGCAAGGTCTGTTTTGCTACAGGGTACCATGATGAGCATCATCGTTTTCGTACTCGAAGTAGCTACCAGTACCATTCCGTATACCTACTCATGAATACCTGCAGTACGGAAAACGTGGGTTTACTTTGTGACTAGCATGCCCCTGCTGAGCGAACAGATGATGGAGAGTAAGACTGGTCCTACCACACCAGCAGCTCGTGCCTTTTGCTACGGTGGCTACCGTACTATGTACTCTATGTAAGGAATGATAAACATGGATTTATGAAATGTGTAACACAGAGACAGACAAATCCATCCGCCAAACATCACCACTTCCTGGCAAGTTGGACAGCTTGCTAGATAGCTAGGAGCAGGTACAATTGCAGGTGCATGACACTGCTGAGCAGTTGACATGAATCTCATCTAACCTGCCCTCCTCCTTGAGCAAGCAGACATCCATTGGCACACTGCCAGACAGGTAAGTGCCATGAAGAGAGAGATGCTGCAACCGAGACAACAAACCCAGCTCGGATGGAATGGAGCCAGAGATACCAGTGTTGTCCATTTGAAGATTATTCAAGCTGCAACAAAGAACGATAACCGTGAGCAGAAGCACAATTAGAAAAACACCAAACAAACAAACATCAAATATGTGCATACCTTGCGCAAAGAGAGATTTCAGTAGGGATCGTTCCTGTTAGCTCTAGGTTCCTTGACAGTCTTAAATCTGTCATTCTTGTGAAGGAACCAATCTCACTCGAGAGAGTTCCAGAGAAGTAGTTCCCATCTAGAAGCATTCTCCATAATCGGCTGCCGCTGTCCTTAATTGGACCAAATGGAATTGATCCATAGAAGCCATTGTTGCTCAAAGAGAGGGTCATAAGGTCTGAAAAAGAGGCATTCTGGTCGGCAAAGATCTGTCCAGACAGGCCACCATTGTTGGCTAGATTGAAGAATCGAAGATTGGTGTGTGACCAGATCCTTTCTGGTACCACTCCACTGAGCTGATTATCATTCAGTTCCAAAAATTTCAGAGAAGGGGGCAACCAGGATGCAGGTATGGGACCAGTGACTTGTGTTTCTGACAAAAACATTCGCTCAAGTGGTGCCATTTGGCTTATCGGCGGAAGGGTGCCGACAAGGTTGTTGCCCTTCAAAGAACAAATCTGCAAATTCTCCAGCTCAGAAATGGAAGAAGGAATGGTTCCTGATAGTCGTGCATCATCGATCCGCAAATCAGTCAGTCTTTTCCACTGCCCAAGAGAAGTAGCTAAGCTTCCAGAAATGTCGGATTCGATTAAATTGAATCGCTCCAGTGTGGTGAGATTGAAAAGTTCTGATGGAATAATGCCTTGGAGTAGTTCATTGCTGAAGAAAATTAGACTCGTCAGCAAGGACAGCAATCCAATCTCTGAGGGGATGGTACCTGTGAAATTCCCAGACATTTCCAGTGTTTGAAGGTTGGAAAACTCCTGGATTCTGCTGGGAATTGTCCCAGAGAGGTCCGGCTCAATCAAAGAAAGCTCCTCCAGTGTGCTTAAAGGCAAAATGTTAAAAATTGAATCTGGAATCGCCCCTGTAATTTTGTTGTTGCTAAGCTTCATCCTGCGAAGGTTTGTGAGCTGCTTCATTTCAGGAATGATGGCTGCTTCAATGGGGGCATTGAATCCAAGCATCCTAAAGTAGATCTCTTCCAATTCGGACAAAAGTGCGATCTCAGGAGGCATGTAACTCTCCACCTTGCTTGCGACTTTAGGGAAAAGTAGCCTGAGCTTGGTGAAGCTTGTCATATTGTTGCAAGTTGTTTCATTTGTTTTCATCTCAAAAAATACATACTTCTGTTCCATCATATTGTACAACAAATTCCCATACACACCAGAGTACCAATCACATTCTGACTTGTTATGAACTAGGAAGTCACTCTTTATAACATCCACCCAGTCTTCCCCGTGGAAACTGTAGAAGAAGGTTGCCAATGCAAACAGCTGGGCCTTTCTCGACTCTGTCATGGTGTCTAAATCAGAGTGCTCCAGCAACCACTTATAAGCCTAGTCTTGAGCCGACAGAGGGCGTTGGATGGCATCAATAGTGCTGTTGAGCAGCACATCAGAAGAGAAAAGAGAGGATGGTGCAGGAGTTGGCGACAAGGAGGTGGCAGAGGGAGGTGCAGAGGGAGGTGCAGTAGGCACCTTTTCTGCCATCACATCAATTGGGCTCTTGGCAGAAGAGTTCTTTTCAGACACAGTTGATGATATCACTGCAGTAAAGATAACTACAAGCAGAATCACCAACAGTCCAAACATGCCAAGTCGTTTTAGCTGTGCATCTCGTTCGCTCTTCTTTGCTTCCATTGCAGCATGGTCCACAGGAATTGCACCGGGTAAATTGCCTGCCTCAATATCATCGACTGGAACAGCTTCTGAAAGGCGTGGTTGCTTCTGGTTCGCAGCGCCTGTAGCAGCAGCGGTGGCGGTGGTTTCCTCAGGAACATCTCTACCCAAGAGAGAAAAATCAACGGCATCCTGATGAACCTCTCTGGTACCTGGAAATGCAGCAAAAGCTCCAGGTTGGGTTTCGATTGCCCCTCCTCTTCCAAGAGTTGGAACTGCCATGTTTGTTATTTCCGGGGGTTCTTGGGGCTCTTGGTGCTCTTGGTTTACCAGGACCCCCACCTCGAGTTCATCAACATCAACCTCGCGTAAGTCAGGCTGACTGATTTTACTGGAAGCTGGCTGAGTGGCATCACCACCTTCTGTTGTGATAGCATCCGCTGGTCCATCAGCAGTGCTAAGCTTTTCTTGGGAGCCATTGGCAAAGGGAACCCCAACACATGTGGCACCTGACGTGCCTGAAGTAAGAGTCGGCGCTCCTTTCTCAACTATGATGGAGAGCAACTCATCGGGGTTGTTACCGGTAGCATTAGACTGGTCATCTTTCTCGATGCCGAGGGCTCGTTCCTCCTTCATTGGCATCAGGGATGGAAAATCGAAATAGCACGTTGGAAGGGGCTCCAAGTTTATGCCTTTTGCCTCGACTCGCTTTACGGTGTGAAGCCAACACTTCTTGGGTGCACTGCACTCTGGTTAGGTGCGATACTGCGATACTGCTCATTCGAAAGAAGATGAGGAAGAGACGAAGGCCTAGGAGAATTAAAGGCAATGTGAATGTCGAACAGACGAAGAAGAGACTATTTCCTTGTCAGGTGCAGTTCCGACGCAGATATTTTAAGGTAGTTAGGGTAATAAGGGGATTAAAAAACTCTACATAATCAACATTGTTTACCCAAGAAAACTGTTTTTACCTTATCTACTGAACCTGTACTCTCCCACGCCGACTAAACAAGTGCGACAGTCGGCTGAGAAAGTCCGAGCGAACACCCCCGAACTGTGAACTGGCAATACGCACTACTATTCTCATAGTACCTGCACTTGCATGTACTGTACTAGTACAAGTAAATACTCCAAGAAATCAGCTGTACCGGTACCCACCTACGCTCTACGAACCTTTGACATACTCAGAGTACTGTACACTGATAGTAGCTTTGCAGTATTGCCTTCTACTGCTTAATTAGTACTCTAGTACTCACAGTGCAACTGCCCCATCGTCAGCTTCTTGTGACTCGACTCAGTTTTGACTTATGACATACTAGTAGTAGACCTCTAGTTGGCCTCTGATGTCACTTGTTTAACTGCACTGGAACCGGTAGCTATGATACCTCGTACCGGTAGCTATGTATACCGGTACCGGTACCACATACCTCGCGATGAGATTATGCCATAGGAGCCATATGGGTGCGGCGCAGCTGTGCTGGCTCAGTCTGATGGAAAGATCGCTGTTGCATCTGTACAGTCTTTCAGTACAATGAGCTGTGTCACCATCAGACAAGATAGGAACAGCTGTAGAGGACATAGAGTTCCTCTGTAAGGAAGGATGATGCAGTTCCTCAGCCATGACTATCTAGAAAGATAGCTGGTCAATACCAGCCAAAAGAGATGCATGGATCTGTATCCTGCATGGCTGGGATGGAGTTTCACGCAAAATCAGAGTTTGTGTTCATGGCATAGTTTAAGAAGTAATGAAGAAGTAGTTGACCTGAAAAACAGACCCAACAGCACAAGTAGAGCTCTGCATTAGACAGGATCCTGTATGGCCAGTGCAAGGGTATTGAGCATTAGACTGTTCAATCATTGCTTCCACAGTGATTAAATAGCATTGGCTGCCAGCCTTGGGCTGGCCTTTCCCCTGGAAGGAAAGACTCCCACGCTCTTGTGCACTACCACTGAGTTCCTACCTGGAATTCATAGGATTAACAGTGTCGCAGATTGCAGGTACAAGAGTGGCTTACAGGAGTGTGGACTCGAAGAGAGGACGAAGAAAATAGCGACGAAAGACCTGACGGCAGATCGTCGACCGAAAACTGGAATCGCGACCGATTGACTCAAACGGGTCACCTACCAAGTAAAGCTGATCTACAAGATAGACCAGCCAGTGCTCCGGTTAATAGGCTTGAAATACCAAGATCGGTGATCGGAAAGAGTGGAAGATTCACCAACAAAGAAAATCGCGACCGAAAAGCACATCGCGAGCGACGACGCAACATGGACCGGTAGGACCAAACCAAGTGGTCACCTATAACCTGAGGGTGCTTGAGAGATAGTCCAGCCAGTTTCTTGTTAATCGGCTTGGTTACGGCGCCGAGGAAGGTTAGGCGATCGCCATTGTCGACTTTTACGGAATTCCCCAGTCGTGCCTGCGGAGGCTACTGCGGTGAAAAGGGAACCGGTACTCACACGGCACTCACAGAACCGTACCGTACCTCGTTCCGAAAGGGCCGAGCCGAAGATCCATCGCCTCACATTTTCGATCGATTCGCGAACTCCGTGGCTCCGTACGAAAGATACCTTGTTAGGAGTGACTTCCTAGGGTAACTCGAAGCACCACGGAGACACCGTTTAACTGTTTCGAAAGGATCCAAGGTTACCAGTGTGTCAACACCTTGTTTAGTCATTCTAGCAGTGCAGCCTTCAGGACCACTTTTGGATTTTCACAGCAACACCTCTACACCACACTCAGCCAGCGCACCAACAGCCATCATGGCTCGCAAGAAGAAGCAGCAACAACACAGGCCCAGCCTGCCATTGGTGTTACACCAACAACATCTGGCAATAGTACTGGCAACACCAACAGGTCCACCACTGCAGGGCCTCCACATCCAGTGGACCCCCCTGCAGTCAACCATACAAGGCCTCCAGTTGTGACTCCTTCTTCACCAGCCAACCATGGTGCCAACCATGGTGTTACCCTTTCAATGATCAGCCACCAACTGGCAATAGCATTGAAGAAAATGAAACAAATGAACCAAGCTCCCTTGGCCCCACCACAAGGCCACATACCAATCAGCTTGGTTCATCCCATCCACCTTACTCCACTCCCTGCACACCTGGTTTATCACACAAGCCTAGCCCTGAGATTAAGGCTAGGAGGACCGATTCAGAACCAGACAGTTTGGAGCAGAGTTTGTTGGTGATGTTGAGGACCCTCTTGGCCATCCATCCCAACCCAAAGTTGCCATGGATGTTGCCCCTCCCCTGCTGGAGGTGGATACCATCACCAAGTATGGGCCCTCAATGGGGAGGTATATCCCCAACCAACACCAAATCATACCATCACATCAGGCATCCCACCAACACCCCATTCTGTGAGATACCCCACTACACAACCTGTGTCTTCAGCAGCTTATCAGCCCATACCTATTAGGCCCACATCATCCAAGACACCAGTACAATCAGCCATCCCTCCTTCGGCCAACCTACTGATCAACACCGGAGAAGCCAAGAAGGAAGTCAGCCTTCATTCCCCACCCTGATGGCAATGGTGGTCTTCCAAGTCCAGAGGTGGTGGAGAAGGTGAACACAGGCCTTCCAGCAAGCCCTTTCGTGCCAAGCCGGATCCACGGCCTACCCTACCCTCAAATCCAACAAGGACTTCGACCAGTGGTATGATTCCTTTATCACTATGGCTAGAGGTCAAGGGTTTTATAAGATCTTTGATGCCGACTAGGTCCAAGCAGCACCGAGTCCATAGATGAACTCAACGAATGAATCATTGGTTCTACGCGTTTTTCCAGAAGACAGGGCAGACCACCAATGGAAAGGTAATCGTGAGGTCCCACTTCATGACTCGACTGCTTTCCATTCTCGTTGAGCTTGATCCAGGAGGCTCACTTGTCAGTAGCAGGTTCTCTTGATCATGTGGAGACACTCACATGGCTGACTAGTGTGCAATACAACCCAGAGGAGCAAGGATCCGCAGTGGACTTCATTGTCAAGTTTGACACAGTTGTTACCCGATACAATGATGGCCAAGGAGACTCCAGTGATAGGCTCACCGATGGTATACAGAAGCTGTTCTGACAGCGGGCCTTCACCGGTATCCCCACCTTGAACGACCTTTCTGCACGTGAACATGAGCGAGTATGTCGCGAGGGACAACATGCATCGTTTACATACAACGGGTACAAGGAGGTGCTACTAAATGCCGCCACATTCTTTGACATCAACAGAAGAGATGATGACTCACGTCTAGCCAAAATAGCCGACATTGGCAAGACAAGACATCAGGGTGATGGGAGCAGTGTAAAGTTCCACGCCTCCCTGACCACGTCTGGTCTAAGCTATCCAGCAATGGACGACAGATTTGGTACAGGCTCTCTGTCGCTTACAAGAGAGTCCTGATGGAAGCCCACCGTCAAACCCAGATGTCAGGACTGGTGGATTCGAAGAGCGAAGCTGACCAAGCAGTCGGGGACACCTTAGACTCTCCCATGGCAGACAACAAAGCCTTCAAGGGCAATCCCAAGCCCAATCCCAACATGGATTTTTGATGGGGCGAATAGTGTACGTGCTGCACCAGTCAAGCCCAAGGAAACCAAGCACCGCCCATGTCTGCGAGGTAGCATGCCACCCTCATAGGGACTACCTTCCGCAGGACATGGCCCAGCATGACAAGTGTTTGTGCTAACTTGTCATCTCCAGGATAGTTTTCCAAGTACAATGTTTTGTTAAAACATGTTTTGGTGACTCCCACCATCCCGCCCTGATGGCACTACCTTCACTTTCAGGTGATGGGGAGAACTTACACTTTGTCACCCTCAGCAAAGGTGAAGCAGTCGAGCTAGAGCAACACCCACCAAAGCTGATGGCTGTGGAATCAGCCACTGCCATGTCATGTGACAGAACCTGCACCGGTCATACCCAAGCAAGCACACAGTTAGTCGTGTCTCTGGACGGGATTCCTTTGAACCCATGTAAAGAGATGGTAAACTTGAGGAGATGTCTGCGAGGTGTTGCCTTTAGCTGAGGCAATATCTGATGATAGGTCAACCAGTCCCACCTCATGGGATGACAGACTTGTCACCTAAATACCCAGTTGAGGCTCCAGATGAACAGTTATGGCCAAGATTGTTCTCACTGGCCCTTATAGGGAGATAGACAGATGCCGTCTAAGCCAATGAGCTATTATGCAAGTATGGGGAGACCATGTAGGATCCCAATTGATGGTCAAATGGACCAATGCAAATGCACCCTTTCTCTCCTGAACACGATTGGAGGTTTGATCACAGGCCCATGTGCTGCCCCTCTCAATGTGTCAAGTGGTACTCAGCAATAGACACCTTGATGTATTCAAGAGGTTTGGTAACCCCTGAGGTAAGCAAACAAAGTCCACACTGAGAAGCCAGATGCTACCAGTTCATGGAAGTATCGCGGGAAGCCACATGATGTGCAAGATTGTTGGCACCCCATCCATGACTCCAATGGCGGGGAGCGATGAGATTATGCCATAGGAGCCATATGGGTGCGGCGCAACTGTGCTGGCTCAGTCTGATGAAAGATCGCTGTTGCATCTGTACAGTCTTTTAGTACAATGAGCTGTGTCCCCATCAGACAAGATAGGAACAGCTGGAGAG